AAAGAGTTACTATGGAATGTCCTGAAACTCATAGAACATTATGTAACTAGTAAAGGTATAAATAAAATATAGTCAGTCTTATAGTATCAAGTCATATGTCAGATCTGGGCTTGAGGCCCAGGTTTTTAATAGAAAAATGACATGAACTCAATATTTAATCAACTATAAATGATAATATTTTACATTTCTGAAATACATACAGATTCGTTACACTCCTCATCACTTGCCCAAAGTTATATCCTAACTGGTCTCACAGCCTTCCACCACAGCCTCCACGTACTGCCAGGCAAGTGTCGGAAAATCTCACTAGGGTCCCCTCTGCCAATTTTGGGGGCTTTCTCGTTGCCCATGAGCAGAGGAGAGTAAGGAAGGTTGTGCTACAGTCTAAGGACGCCTGTGGCAACCACAAAAATCTGAGTGCTAGTGTTACAGCAACGGATCACCATGTTTTACATTTTGTTTTCCATCCTGTCTGTATTAACTTCATTACAAAACATTTTCAGTTATTTACCAGAAATAAAACTGATGCTCAAGAAGGGTGCCAGGTGATATTCTGTGACACACCTCAGGACGCATTTTGTTTAAGTGGGAGGTGTTAGGTTTACAAGTCAAAATACTGTAGCCTGAAGACCTTACCTAGCCCCTCTAGAGTGAAGGACTCCTTTCTGTGGGGGGCATGGCCTTTCAGGATGAGGTGTAGCTGAGTCCAGAGGTTCCCCAGGGTGAAAATTAGACTGCCACAGAAGAGAAGCCAGAAAAAAAACTATCTGGTTTTTTTCTGATCTTGACTCAAACTAAAGTCAGGAGAGATGTCTGGTAGGCTCAACTGTTGAAACAGTAAACATGAGAAGTCTGAAGGCCAAACTAGAAAGCTTTATCCAGTTCAGCCAAGGAGTCCGAGATGCACACACTTTGTGAGATTTCTCTGTAGCTTTCCCCGTGTGTGTTATCTCTGTCCATTTCTCTTAGTGATTTATTGAGTGGACGAATGTGTGTGCACCAGGCACTGTTAGAGGCACTGTGTACTGAGCAGTAAATAAGACAGGGTCCTGTTCTCATGGAACTTTCATGTTATAGGGGGAGGACAGAGGAAGAAACAAATAAAGAAGAAAGTAAGTAAGTGCCATGCACAGAATTAAAGTAAAGTGCTCTAATAGAAGAGACAGTGGAGGTTAGTATGTGGTGATTCAACATTGGATGCCAGGAAAGGCACCTCACAAGAGGGGATATAGAAAATTTTTAAATAAAATATTTTAAGAGACTTTCATTCCATATACAGTCTTCAAGGAAATGAGAAGGGAAAGCAGGAACTGGTTTGCTATTTAAAAATGAAGAAGGAGAAGGAGACTCCTCTAGGCTCTATTGGATTTTGTTGGCAGGGAATTATGACCAGTTCAGAGCATTATCTTTCATCAGCCCATCTTTAAGGATTTCAAAAGCTTAAATATAACATAGGTTACTGTAAAGTAATTAGGAAGGTTTTTTTAATAAAGTTGTAAAGGGGCGCCTGGGTGGCGCAGTCAGTTAAGCGTCCGACTTCAGCCAGGTCACGATCTCGCGGTCCGTGAGTTCGAGCCCCGCGTCGGGCTCTGGGCTGATGGCTCAGAGCCTGGAGCCTGTTTCGGATTCTGTGTCTCCCTCTCTCTCTCTGGCCCTCCCCCGTTCATGCTCTGTCTCTCTCTGTCCCAAAATAAATAAACGTTGAAAAAAATAAATAAATAAAGTTGTAAATAGTTATATTTACATAAATATATATAATTTATAATATATATGTGTATATATGTACATATATACATATATACACACACACACACATACACACACACACACACACACACACACATACATACACACAGCCCCTTTGGTAAGGGCCATACAGTTATCCAGATGATATTGTCCTTGCTCAGAATAGCTTCGGACCTTTGGATCTGTCTTTTGGAATTTGCTTCTTGAGCTGTTTTCTAGCTACTAGCAAAATAACTTTTAGTTTTAGTCTCTCTCCTTTTACTGCTCGCCTCCAGGCTTTACTGAGTTCCTCTGATTGTCTCTGTCCTTTTTTTTTTCTCCTGAGGGTCCCTGAGGACTGTTACAGTCCCAGCCTGGAGCAAAGACAGTAGTGGTGGTGGGAGAACTGATTGAGTTTGTCTATCAGTCTGGATCCAGCAGGAGAGAAAAACCACATAGCAACTTAAACAGGGAAAGTGTAATGTGAATAATTATAATCTAAACTATCACAGGAGATCAGAGTAACAGGGAATGATCAGTAAGAAATAAAAAGAGCTCTAAAGAATGTAAGGATAGCATTGGAAATGAGCGGCCCCTACTCTTAGAGGCCCCCCTGGGCTCACTGGGGAGGGCATGGCTGTAGCTCCTTGGGGGGTGGAGAAGTCACTCTGGTGCTCTGGCGGGGTACGTGCTGGAGCTCTGTCCTCTAGAACTTTTCAGAAATCCACCCTCTAGGGAGCTGGTGAAACTGTTGAGGGGAGAGGTTCCCGCCAGAGGCAAGTCTGCTGCAAAACTGCCCGGGGCAGGGGGAGGTACTGAAAAAAACCTGCCTGTCACTGGGTCCTGGTGGCCATCACACCCTGCAGAAGCCTGGCAGTGGAGAAACCCCAGTTCTTCGGGAAGCTGCTGAGTGAGCGAGCCCACCAGCCCCGGCAAGGAAAACCCCTTCCTCCCACCTGCGGGTTCTCTTCAGTGTGCTTTCCTGACAAAGCTTCACGTCGTGGCAGCTAACAGAGCAAAAATAAAGGGCACAGGTTCATTTTCGCAGAACAAGCAACTAAGGCTGAATTTGGAGCTGGAGGACCATCAAGTGACGGCCGGCAAAGCTGGGGAGACAGTCTCACAGGGAGCACTCCAGAAGTTCGACTAACTCCTGTGTGTTTGTGAATGGCCTGCCTGCTATAAGTGAAATAATGGAAAGGAACACTTGGCCAAATATTCATTGCATCATGCCCAAAGAGAGAAATAAGTAAAAATAAGAGTGTGTATGTGTGTGAGTGCGTCTGTCTCCATCCTCACGGCATAACGGTTTTCATATAGGGGCGCAACACAGCCTTCCTGACAAGGTCTCTCCTTTTTTATGAGATTATACGCATTGTACTGCTTTGGGTTTTCAAACAGCCTTAATAGTTTCAGTTTTTAGTGAACTGACGGTCATGTGGAAGATAGTTTTTGTTGTTTTGGCTGTTTTACTTGTCCTGAAATTTTTCCTATCCGACAAAAAAGTTATCAATCTTGTATCAGTACTCTCCCCATTAAAAAAAAAATTATACTGGTCTATGAAATTTGAATCTGGGAAACATTGCACCCAGCTGAGAATGTATTAGTATGAATTGTGGCAAGTCACTATAACCCTTTTATGAAATGTATAGTTTTACATTTAGAAACCCAAACACAGATGTCACTTTATGCTCAACAGTAAGGACATAGAAACTTATAAACAGAACTTAGATAATAGCTCAGGCCACGTACTTAAGGTTCATTGTCGCTGCTTAAACTAACCAGTAATAGTATTATTATCACTGTTTTTCAGATGATGAAAATCAGATGGAGTTAAATAATTTTTTCAAGGTCCTCTAACTGCTGTATAACAGAGCCAAGATTTGAATAGGAGTCTGACTGGCTCCAAAATGTTTCAGGATTTAAATAGATGTCTGACTGCTTCCAAGAACTTTCTAGCATCTAGGGAAAGACAAAACTGAATTAAGGAGTTAGAAAAAAATGGAATTTTCACAAACTAAAAGACCAAAGCATCATATATTATGTATCTTTTCCCAGAGAAAGGAAATGTAAAAAGGGAATTCATAACTTGTTTTTAAAGCTTAAGGAGTATCATGCGTGTAGAATTCAACTAGTTTTGATTTCACCAGAGCAAATTTAAATGTGGTAGGTTGTACAGAGTGTACTAGTGCAAAGAGAAATGTATTTTGTATTGTTAACTTGCAATGGTGTATCAGGAGGGAATGCATTTGTTTCAGATTTGCCTGTAGTGGCTTTATCAAATATGGACTGATCTGTGTCATGTAACAAGAAGTGCAGGTGTGGTGGTTGCTGACACTGTTTCACTAACTCAGTATTAGGGCCAACTTTGCTTCAATTTCCTTGGCCTTGCTCTCCTGGTTATACAATTGCTGCTGCAGTTCCTGCCATTACATCTCTATTCAAGAAAGAAGAAAAAAAAGTGTGCCAGCTACATAGCACTCATTCTGTCATCTTTTCTGAAACATCCCCAACTGACTTTGGTTTTGTTCTCGTTAGCCAGCTCTGGGTCAAATGTCCTCACCCCTAGTTTCAGTGGAATTTGCGAAAGCAAGGAATAACTTTGCCATGATTGGCTTAGACCATGGGTCAGCCAGATTGGCCCCAGGACCAAATTCAGGCCACCTCTGTTGTTATTAATTGGAACACAGCCACACGCATTCATTTATACATTGTCTATGACTGGTTTCACTCTATGATGGCAAAGCTGAGTAGTTGTGATAGGGGCCATATGGCCTTTAAAGTCTAAAAATATTTGCCGTTTGTCCTTGTACCAAAAATGCTTGCTACCCCTACCTTAACCAGTCATGACCCATTGCCTGGTGTTGACCACATAGACACTGCTGCTAACTGGGCTTCCACTAAGCAAGGAAGAAGGAAGAAAAGGAATATTGGAAAAGAACCAACAGAATATGTCAAGTTACCTTGCCCAACTAATTATATACAAGACCAAAAACTATAATGTGTATCTGTTTTAAGTCACAGGGTCACTTTGAATATATAATTTTTCTGCTGTTCATTTCTTCATGAGCCAACCAAGAAAATGCAGACAGGTAGAAATTTTGCAAATGCTGTATACAGAATCGGATGATTGGCAGTGTTGTGATATATCATGAATCCAGGAAGATAATCCCTAATTTACTGACTTTTATACAGCACTGTCTAAGATATTGTCAGACTAAGTCTTAGACACACATTTCACTGATTGACACTTCCCTTTCAACTATTTATTTTAGGTTCTTGCATACACTGAAGGACTTCACGGAAAATGGATGTTCAGCGAGATACGAGCTGTCTTTTCAAGACGTTATCTTCTACAAAACACTGCTTTGGAAGTATTTATGGCAAACCGAAGTAAGGCCCCTTAAATATTATGAAATGTGCTCATATTTGGATGTATGTATTTACATAGAATGATACGGTTTTCATTTTTCCCTGCTGTATTTCTCTCTTTGATACGCCCTCACTAAAATAAGAAGAAAAATTAGCTTGTTTGAAAATGTTAATCCTAGATTTTTCCTGGATAATGCTGTACAGAAAGCTGATTTTCCATGAAGATACATTACCTTGACAAATACATCATGAGAGGCACTTGAAAATGATTTCTAAAATTGATGGTTAGTTCTCCTGTGGTTTTCTAACTCGTGTTTTTTTCTTTTTCCCACAGCCTCGGTTATGTTCAATTTCCCCGATCAAGCAACAGTAAAAAAAGTTGTCTATAGCTTACCTCGGGTTGGCGTAGGGACCAGCTATGGTTTGCCACAAGCCAGGTAATTCTATCATATCACGCATTATGTATGGTTCGTTAACATATTTTAATCCTAGTATGACAGAAATATAAATAAGGTTATACCATTATAATTATTTTGAGAACCAAGGCATTTTCTTTCTCTGCAAGTCATTTGTAGGCAAAGAGGCTGTGAAACATCTATTTTAAGAATGACAGAATAATTAATGTATAAGTTTTATTTAACACCTATATAAATAGGAAGTAAAAAAGTTGATTGTATATCATAGCTCGCACATCATTAGGACATTTTTGCTGAAGATCTTACAAAAAACATACCAGAGCCTCATGATATTTGTGATTAATTGTTGCATGATCGCATATAAACTGTTTGTAAAAATGCTGCACATAGATGCTTCTTCATGAAAGTAATAAAACTCTTAGAATTTGTTGAGGTTAATAGTTATGAATGATGGTGTGGTTTTAACCATTTCCTAAATGTTTCATCTTGGTATTTTAAAACATAATTTTGAAATCTTATTTTATCAAAAGATACTAGTCTAAGAGAAAACATAGTAATTATGTGTATCACTAATATCAGTCAGTTTTTAGCTCCATGTAACTGAATACCTATCCAAAAGTGGCTTAAACACTAGAGTGTTTTGCTGTTTGAGCCTTACTTTATCAAAAGTCTGGAGCTAAGGAGTTTCCAGTACTGTCTCCGACGTTCAGTGATGTCAAGACCCTCAGTCGGTCTCCTGGTCACAAAATACCCACTAGTGTTCCAGATAGCACAGCTTCACACAGTTGCATTAAAATGGGAAAAAGAGGGGGCGCCTGGGTGGCGCAGTCGGTTAAGCGTCCGACTTCAGCCAGGCCACGATCTCGCGCTGCGTGAGTTCGAGCCCCGCGTCAGGCTCTGGGCTGATGGCTCGGAGCCTGGAGCCTGTTTCCGATTCTGTGTCTCCCTCTCTCTCTGCCCCTCCCCCGTTCATGCTCTGTCTCTCTCTGTCCCAAAAATAATAAACGTTAAAAAAAAAATTTTTTTTTAAATAAATAAATAAATAAAAAATAAAATGGGAAAAAGACACAAAGGGTTTCTCCTCGAGCCTCTAGGTTTTAGGAAAGAATATATTTGTCAGAAGCCTCCTGCAATCTTTATCTTAGGTCCCTTTGGCCTAAATGGGCTCACCTTCCTGTCCTTTGAACAATCACTGCCAAAGCGAAGTGAGTTAACTGGCTTAGGCCAATCACCCTCTGGGTAAAACTCAGGGTAAACTGTACCTCTGAAGTCCTCGCCACCTCCTGCTTGAACAAAACAGGTCCCTGTTGGCCAGAAAGAAAGATACTGACTTGGGACAGACAAACAACAATGTCTTCCACATCAGTCACTCTGTCCATGAGAATTATTGCAGAGCCCAGCATGGATGGACAGGAAAACTAATCTTTGTCTATCTTCCCTTAAATAGGCTACAGACATTTAAAAGACAGGGACTGTGTCTTCTGTATCTTTTAATCTATAGCACCTAGCACAGAGCCTAATTGCTGAGATGCTTTTTAGGTGCTACTCAACTAGAATTACCTTGATTTACAAAGCATCCGTTCTCGTATTAAGCTCACAGTGTAAGACCAATTCACTGACATGTATGTACAAGCTCAGGATATTTGCTAGGAGAATGACAAGATTAAATTAAGACATTAGTGGATGATGAAGAAATACTTATGTAGAATACAGGTCAGAGGAAAAATGCATTTAATCTATCGAAAAAAAGAAAATGAGGTTAGTTTTGCAAGACTTGTTCTTACTGAATCGAAGCTGACTCATGTAATCACTGCTTCCTTTCCCAAGTGCTTACAAACTGTTCGTTTAATCGTCAATTCAAGGATTTTTCCAGGAATTGACATTAAGAACTGACAAATAGGTCTTTTTCCTTTTTGAAAATGATCTTCTGCCTCCTGACATCTTTCTCAATGATCATGATTCTTCAGAGATTACCCATACAGGTTTCTCAATGATGTGTGTAATTTCCTTCAGTACTCTCGGACTTGCCTCGACCTGGATTCATTTAAAACAACCGGAAGTTCTTTACTCTCTCCCTTACCTAGTATGAGTATTATTTCCCCTTTAACCACAGTTGGTCTCCCTTTGACTTTTGGAAGATCATCCTTCTTGATGGCAAAACTGGAAACAAAATAGATGCTTAATAGTTTTGGTTTTGCTGTTGCTTCAGACAGCCATTCTACCTTAAAACCCTTTTTTCTGGTCCTTTGGCTTGCCCCTGCCAATGGCTCAACGCATTCTTAGTTTCCTAATAGTATTCCAGAAGTCCAGTTTTAATGTATTTCCTGTGAGATATAGCCTTGGGAGCAGCAGATAGGGATGAGAGGAACACTGAATCTGGGCTTGGACCTGCCCCTTCCTGGTGGGGTAACAGTCACAGAGCCTGATACGGGAACTTAGTTGAAAGAATGAATAACACTAGGCGAGAGGAGTGACACTCTCATCTGCTATAAAATGGAGACACTATCTTTGAAAAGGGATGTTTTATGAAAGTCTTGAGATCATAAAGTGAAGGCATTTTGTAAACTGTAAACACACATACACACTATACATGTATATGGAACATGTCCGCACATAGGTAAGTAGGGAGGTGGGTAGGAGGGTAGGTAAACAGATAGGTGCACCTACACCCATAAACACATGTGTGTGATATGTAAGGTCCTGTTATATTTACAGAATTCTCAAAGAGAAGGGATGATGTGTGGCTCCTACAAGTGGAAGCCTTCCAGATGACAGTATTTTGATAGAACCACGAAGGGCGTCATTCTCTGCTTTGTTTTCTTGACATTGGGTCTAACCGGTTTAAGCAGAGTTTATCAAACTCTAGGAAACTTACTCTAAACTAAACCTACAAGATTTATAAACAAAATTTTATCGGGGTGCCTCGGTGGCTCAGTCAGTTAAGCGTCCAACTTCGGCTTAGATCATGATCTCACGGTGCATGGGTTCAAGCCCTGAGTCAGGCACTGTGCTGACAGCTCAGAGCCTGGAGCCTGCTTTAGATTCTGTGTTTCCCTCTCTCTCTGCCTCTCTCTCTCTCTCTCTCTCTCTCTCTCTCTCTCTCAAAAATAAAAATAATAAAAACATTGAAAACAATTTTTATCAAATTCAAAAGCAGGTATACTGCTAGAATAATGGCCTTCACATATCACATAAGCCACTTGTTGGACAAGCCCACCAAAGAGATAACATTACAAATCAGATTGTTGCTTTGTCCTTTTAGAATGAAAGGAATATATCCTTTAAGCTAGCATAGCTTAATGAATGCCTCTTTAATTAATGAATATCCATTTACTGAGTTTTTGTTTACTGAGAACATCCCGTGTGGCAGGGACTATACTTTGTGTTTTAGTTTATAAACATTATATGCCTTCTTCTTCTTCTTCTTCTTCTTCTTCTTCTTCTTCTTCTTCTTCTTCTTCTGGCTTGTAAACAACAAATTCTTGAAATTCTGTGAGGCTAGAAGTCTTAAGATCAAGATGCTAGCAAATTTGGTATCTGACTACAACCCATTTCCTGGTTCTTAGATGGCCATCTCGGTATGTCTTCATGTGCCAAAAGGGAGTTCTCTGTCCTTAATTCTATTTTTTTAACGTTTATTTATTTATTTTGAGAGAAAGAGAAGGTACGGTACGAGTGGTAGAGGGGCAGAGAGAGGGAGAGAATCAGAAGCAGGCTCTGTGCCACAGTGCAGAGCCTGATGCAGGGCTTGATCCCATGAACTGTGGGATCATGACCTGAGCCAAAACTGAAATTCAGAGGCTTAACCAAGTAAGCCTACCAGGCACCCTCTTTGCCCTTAATTCTTAAAACAACCACATTCCTAAAACATTGGGATTATCATCCCATTGTACAGCTAGGAAAATTTTGATTTAGATAAGTTACTTATCTTGCCCAAGTTCATAGCTCACACCCTTCATTTCTATCCTGTGACATCTGTCAAGGTTTCCCACATTGCTCATAAGAACAATACCATCACCCCTGCATAATGATTGAAAAATACCAGCAAAAACTTGCCCATATTCTGGATTCCATACTGATTACCATTGTTTGGTCAATGCATTTTTCTATTCAGATAGCACAATCAATTAACTTTGGATTCAATTAGATTATTTACTTACCAAAGATACATCTGGTTGTATCCATAAGGTTTGTGATTTTAAATGGTTGCCATGTATTGTGGTACTTAGTAGCTTTTATCTCAGAGGGCAGTTTGTCTTCATCTTATCCCCTGATTGTAAAAGCATCGTAATGTATGGGGCGCCTGGGTGGCTCAGTCGGTTAAGCGTCCGACTTTGACTCAGGTCATGATCTCACAGTCCGTGAATTTGAGCCCCACGTCAGGCTCTGTGCTGGCAGCTCAGAGCCTGGAGCCTGCTTTGGATTCTGTGCATCCCTCTCTTTGTCCCTCCCGTACTCATGCTCTGTCTCTCTCTGTCTCAAAAATAAATAAAACATTAAAAAATATATATTTTAAAAGCATCGTACTATAGCCCAAATACATACCAGCCATCCTCATTTAATATCTAAATTTGTTGTAGATGTTTTGAACAGACCTATTGATTTACTGTTTCCCATTCTTCTTCTTCATATGATTGAATTATTTAATTTTTTGGCATCACGTATCTTTTTAGCCATTTTTTCTTAGAGGATGGCCAATAATTCAAGTCATTTAGTATGTACTTATTGAGACCCCACTATATACTAAGTATTGCTAAAAGCAAATCATATAACAGTAAGTAAAACAAGGTTCCTGCTCTCAATGAGTTTATGGTGGAAAAGGTGAAGCAGTGAACAGGAAAAGCTGGTCATTTTCCTAGACCTGCTGATAAGTGGCTTTTCTCAATTACTTTCCCATGCCCACATTTTTCTATTACTTTCTCTAAGAATGACATGATCACTTTCTCCCGTGATTCCCATTATTGGTACTTAGCAGGATTTGTGTGATTTTTGGTTTGGGGATATTTTTGATGGTCAGAATTATTTCCAGATCAGCAATTTTCTTCTTAAATTGTTTGGGTTCAAAATGTCAACAAAGGCATTCAACATTTTATGATATATATTGTAAAATTTTAGCAGACTTCTCTGAGCGTGCTGCAGGTAAGAATTTTAGAATAGCAAGAATGTGATTACAATAGTAATACTGTGCAAATTGGACCAACATGTGATTATAATAGCACAATGCAAATCGGACTAAGCAAAGCTTATTAATTCTTTGATGATTCAGAGCCTATGTTAGCCTGTTGCCATGACAAAGTCAGGATCAGGGATAAAGTTTACTACATAAAATAGTTGTGTGAGTAGAAGTAAAGCTGGAGAAATTTTAAATATTGATATCAGTATGGATCAAAATCTGGAAGCACTGTAAAAATCATATTATAAGTTAATTGAAAAATGTACCGAATTACAGAATTGATGTATGAAATACATATACCATTTACCATTGCAATGAAGTGAATCATTAGACTCATATGGTTCATTTGGAGTGAGTCAAACATACATTACTAGCAAAGTTTTTTAAAAAGTTAATATTTTAAACATTGAGTTACACCTAATCATTCTTAGAATTCATAATTTGGATTTGAGTTTGAGATAACAAGTTCCTTTCCATCCTTTCCCCCCTCCTTTTCCTCAACTAATATGTATTTTAGCTCCTACTATGTACAAGACAGTGCCGATTAAGATTCCGTGCACATAGAAATATCTGACAATAATCCATGAAACAAAAATAGCCTTAAGTCCACAGTTCCCAAACTGAGCATCAGGGTACCTGGGATGTCACAGTGAACTCACAGGCTTCTGCAGGGCATCTCATGCTTTTTAAGGAAAAACAGCACCATCTGTCAGATACCGCACAAACTCTTAGCTCAAGTTAGTTTTACATTTCAACATTAGATAGCACTGTGTTCTTTTTCATGACATCTTAGCTTTGTAGAACCAGTTTTTGGGAGTTGCTATGATAAAAATTTAAAAAAAGGAGCTGAATGAAACTCAGTATAGAACAGGAGGTGTAAGGAGTGGTGTCAGATAGAACAACAAGGCTTAAGAAGCTGTGCAAAGCCCACGGTGCACACATCCCTTTACTAAGTAATTGTAGTTATTTAAGAATGAAGTAAAAATACTATTTTTATTTCAATTTATGAGTATTATATTTTCCAACAGCTACTTAGTTTTTAAGACTTATGTATTTATTATTTGGATCTAACCACCTAATAAACATGACTGTTAGGTATTTCTCTTGGCCCAGGGACAACATGAAAAAGTCCTTGACATACCAAGGGTAGCATGAATTGAAAACATTTAGGAACCTTTGTCTTAGGTTAGTGATCATTTTAGAAACTCAGTGGCTTTAGCAGACTTTTACAAATACAGGTCCCTTTCATTCCTTTTTACATAAACACAATGAACCCCAGAAAGTTCATAATTTACACAGATCGTCCCGATTTTACTGCCTTGAGCTATTCCTGTGTCCCTTCTTCTGAATTCATATGTTTTCAAAGTTCCCAGCTTGTTTTTTTACATCGTTAGAGGGATACGTACAGCGTAGGTAGAGGCTGTACTCCCACGCACACTCTTTGCGGAGGCCTGCCACAATAACACAACTGTATCCATATATAAAGTTCAGTGGCAGCCATTATTATATGAGGTTTAAATCAAATGCTTACAAGCTGGCACCTGACTACCTGCCTACATAGCTTATTAGCATGGAGTAGATTTGCAATATTGTTCACAAGCTACTTTTACTTGAGTGTAGTTTCACCTTTTTTGGTCTTGTTGACTTGTAAAATACCCATTTGCAGCCATATTATACAAAAAGGTGTTTTCATTGGATAAAGAAGATGTGGTATATATACAATGGAGTATTACCCAGCAGTCAAAAAGAATGAAATCTTGCCATTTGCAACTATGTGGATGGAACTGGAGGGTATTATGCTAAGCGAAATTAGTCAGAGAAAGACAAATATCATATGACTTCACTCATATGAGGACTTAAAGAGACAAAACAGATGAACATAGGGGAAGGGAAGCAAAAATAATATAAAAACAGGGAGGGGAACAAAAACATAAGAGCCTCTTAAATATGGAGAACAAACAGAGGGTTCCTGGAACGGGTCGGGGTTGGGGGATGGGCTAAATGGGTAAGGGGCATTAAGGAATCTACTCCTGAAATCATTGTTGCAGTATATGCTAACTAACTTGGATGTAAATTAAAAAATAAAAAATTTTAAAAAGGTGTTTTCATATTGGTTTATTCTGAATAACTAAATGTATCTTTTCTATGGTAGAATTTTCAAAGATTGCTAATATCTGCAATTAAAATGTATTTTTTAATCTACCTAAAGATAACCCATTAATTATTTTAAGTGGATTGACACCAAACCAATGTATTAGTTAATACTGATTTTTAAAAGGCATGAGTTAAAAGAGACTATGTTTGTTATGGTTTGCTTAATTTCTAGGAGGATATCACTGGCCACCCCTCGCCAGCTTTACAAATCTTCCAACATGACTCAGCGTTGGCAAAGAAGGGAAATTTCCAACTTCGAATACTTGATGTTTCTTAATACTATAGCAGGTAAGACATCTCATTCTTTAATTTCATAATACATTTGTGTTCATCAAAAGCATTGGTAATATGACTTGATGGAATGCATTTTTTTTTCTTGGAATTCAAATACAGCATTAGAATAAATGTGGGAGCATTCACGTTAGATGTTATCAGAAATGGTACAAGCTGGCACTGAGGTTTTAGATGCATTTGTTGTTGAAGAGCCTTTTCCTTGCTCCCCTTTGCCATTTCCTTTGCTGACAGCTTTGTCTGAAGGTTTATTAGAGTCAACAAACCATTGCCAGAAAGTGTCTGGAAATAATAATGGGAAAATGTAATTTCCCTACTTTGTCATTCTCGGCAATAGCAGCTAGACAGGAGAATAACAACAGGATTCTGCCTAGTACAGATGTCACCTGGATTGTGGCATGATTGGGTTACAGGATCTTTTCTTCTTAAAATCTTCGCATAAAAATATAAAATCAGATTGCATTTCTAAATGATGAGTAACTGCCATCAACCTCAGCAGTACTGTGCCTGCAAATTAAAAGAAGGTAGTGGCTTTGTTTTCCTGTTAAATCATTGGCTGTCTGTGGTTAAACATATTTATGAGATTTAAGTGCCTCTTTCTTTTTTCCTAAATTAAGTTCCAAAAGCCCTTATTCATGTTGAATTACAAAAAGTGTACCTCTATAAATCAGGCTCTGCAAAAACTTCTTGGAATAACATGAATTGAAGTAACTATATAAACACATATGCTCCCCTTTGGTTCTTGTTCTATTATGAATGAAGGCTCAGAACCATGAATTTAGAGACATGTTCTCTGAATAATTGCTTAAAAAGGATAACTGTGTAATATTACTCTTCTTAAATCAATCACATATGTGTGAATATGGATGCTATAGGGTACACATAGTAAATATGGGTGATGCAGATATATATTAGATAGGCAAGAGAACACAATTTGTGAACAAAAGGGATAAAAAAGTTGTTGAAAATGTTTTTACATTTTAATCATTTAATACATATTGTAATGTAATGCCTTTGTGAATAGGATACTAGAGGTACAACCAAGGTCTATTACGTAAATTAAATTTTATTGTATATTGTATACACACATCTCCATCCTCTACGTGTACCTTCATGATATATTCATGATGTCTTTCATATATATAATATATATGTGTATATACATGTATATACACATATATATGTCAATATATATGTGTATATACATGTATATACACATATATATGTCAGTAAACATGATGTTTATATCTTAAAGAAACCTATTTGCTCCCTTAAAGATACAAGAAACAGGTTATACTGTTTAATTGGCACATATCGTGTCCATGTACAGATAGAGTGAACTTAAATATCTGAAATATAAAAACCTTCACTAGCATAGGCAGGTAACCGCATGATGTAGCAGAAAGAAGCTTCAGTGCCAAAGAGAAGAAGGATAGAATCTGAGGTGTGCCAACTTTGTCCTAGAGCATAGATGGAGTTTCAGGTTGTAACCCTGTCCTGGACTTTGCTCTTTCAGTAACCATATTTAATGTGTTTACATCTGTTGTATCAAGTGATACGTTTGGTCGTATATTGTCTCATTTTATACTATTTAAAAAAAATTTTGTATTCTTTTGTTTTTCTTTGGCCTTATAAAATTTCTCCCACTTTGTTAGTGACTGTAGCAATCCTGTTATTAATTCTCCTAGAGATATGTTTACATTTTTAAAAACCCTCTAAAGTATATTTTCCTTATTTTTGAAGTCAAATATGAATCAGCAGTTCTAATTACTCCTATATAAGAACTTAAGGTCAATTTACTTCTTGTTCACTGCTTATTTTTGTCAATATGATTTACTACCCGGAATCTATGTTCTTATAGAACTCATATTTTTTGGAGTCCCTATATTTTGCATATTATGAAGGATTTCAGACTCTACTAAAATTTTCTCCTTGTTAATGCAGTACATCATTTTCAGCTACATGGATCTTTACCTGATTTTTAGGATAATGTTTGGTCTCTTTACATTTTTCTGCAGTGTTTTTCCATATTCCCTGTGTTAGGCTTCTCTGTTATCTATGCTTGAGAGATCTATCAGGGCTAATTGTCTACCATATGTCATGGATGGGCATAAGATTTTTTTCCTTGGCTGTTAACTATTTGGAGCTGTTGTATATAAAACTGGAAGACAGGGTGATATACCTCACTCACAGTTCAGTTTCCAGTCGAGCTGGCATTTATATTAAACTGTTCTGCCATTCTAAGGTGGGTTTCTTGCTGTCTTTCTGGATGCAATGTGGTCTAGTTCATTGTTCTAAAGGACTCTTCTAGTCTCCATCCCTTCCCACTACATTTCACTGTCAGATACACTTCCCACAATATGGTACAGTACCGCCTATAACCACCGCCTACCCCATGCCTGTTGCTGTCTGGGAGTTTCTTTCTCTGTCAAGCTCTGGAAAGATTGCAGTCTGGATAAGATAACATTGTGTTCCCATCTGTAAGCTATACCTGAGCAATACAGACACTGTTTTTTTTCCTGGCTGGGACAGTCTTTGGGTTTCTGAGCCAGAGCATGCAGATCCTAAGGGATGTCTCAGTGTCATTCTACTCTCTTTTGAATCACTGGGGTCTGTTTTATTTGATGACATAAAGAATGTATAGACCACTGGCTTTTAAAAAAAGAATTTATTGGGCCTTTCCTTTATAATGATCATATCTAAACATTGAAGCCCGTCTGTTGTAGACGGCGGGATAAAATGAAGTATAAAATTGGGACTAGGAGCTCAGAGCACTTACAACTGGATGGGTAAATGAACTATACATAAATAAGAGAGCATTTTAAGACAGCTGATGTTAAGTGCTGAATAAGTGCTGTAAATAATAAATGCTCTGAGAGCTAAGCAGAGTGGAGGAATTTTAAAGATGTGTTTGTCTGGGGAGGAAAAAAAGAGCAGAGCTTTACAAATATTTCTGCCGGTTGGACATGTGATGTGTTCAGTGGACACGGGTATCGTATCTTGGCTCAGAGCAGAGAATATTGGAGCTATCGGTAAGAGCCAGATTGTAAAGAGCCTGATCTTAGACTCTTAAGAGGTCAGTATGGTTTTGGAGTAGAAAGGGACACAATACAGAGTTTTAGGAAAATGAAACTGATGACGATGTATGGCCTGAATCGGAAATGAGATAGCCTACAGTTAGGGAGAGCTGTTGATAGGAGTGTATTACAGGTCTCTATACGAAGCCAATGTGTTCAGTTTTTTAGGAAATAGTCGCTGAACACACACTCTGGTTCTGACACTGCAGAGGAAACTAGAGTGTGGTTTCTGCCTTTGAAAAGATGATGGCGTAGTTGGCGAAACATAGGCACACCAGCAATTCCACGAAAAAGTGATAATTATTAAAACAAGAGAACATACAAAGCCATTTGGGTCACAGAACTAGAAGGCATTACTTGTAACTAAGAGATCAGGGAAAGTTTTTCATAGGTAACACTTAAATTGAAAAGTATAATATAAGAAGTCACTGGAAAGTAAACAGAGGGCATTCCAAGAGAAAAGAAGATGTGGAGTGAAGAGTTGTATTAGAAGAGTTAAGGAGGCAGTAGGTATGGCAAAAAGAGTGGGGGGGGAGGGGAGAAGTGCATGACTCCATGTAGAGTGTCATTGTACAAAAAGGAGAAATCACTGTAATGTGCTCTAGTTTGGTGGTTGGCAGTGTCACTTGGAGACTTGTGAGAGGTGACTATTCTCAGAAGACTCCTCCGACTTACTGAATTTGAGGCCCGGGGAGTGGGCCCAGCAATCTGCATTTCAGTAAGCTTTCGAGATGGTTCTGATACATATATAGTTTGAGCACCATTGCTCTAGCCATTTAAGATCTAATTAACAGAACAATATTTGCATACAAAAACAGTTAGAATATATAAGAAATCATGCAGTTACATGCCATTAACAGTCGTTAAGAGTTTACAAAAGTGGCAGATGAGGATGAGATAGTCTGTTCAAAGGAAGCCTCGTAGAAAAGGTGGACTTTGAATTAGCTCTTAAAGGATTTTGTCTAGATAGATGATTATCCAGGCAACATGAATCTTTATACAGAAGTGGAATTGGAATGACAATTGAAAAAAAAAAAAAAAGCTATGAATGTAAATATCCTGAGGTACTTTCCTTGGATACAGTCCTGCTAATTCTTCCCTGGCCATCATCCTCAAGTTTTAAGTAGGAGTGCCATTTTGTACAGAGCACTGGCATTGAAGATTTGGGTGATGGTTTTATAGAGATGCTTCACTAAAGCCAAATTGAGTATTTGTTAGGGAAGTAATTAGAATTGCCAATGTTTCTGATTTGTGGAGGAAAATGTATCCATTCATTTCTTCTTATTGAAACATTTTTCAGAGTTCTCTATGGATCCTAGAATAAAGGCAGTTGTAAAGATGTTACATTGAGTCAGTATCACTTTACTAACATGGGTTCCACTAAATAATCATGTTGTTATGTCACATGGTTTTGAGAATGCAGTTGTTGTTCAATAAATACTTATTTAAGGCCATTGATTGAAACTTAAGATTTATCATTTCTTGAAAGGATGTTAGTGTTCTTACTGACAAATTGTATTTCATTTCCTGGGTAATCCAAAGCCAGTACATGGTTGGCTGATAGTATTACAAATGCCTTTTTTAGAACATCTCTTTAATTATTCTTAATATCAAGCTTCAGAAAAAATAAATATTTTTATTATTACTTTGTTTAGTGTTATGGTTTCTTTTGGAAATAGTTCTTTAATATTATAATTAAGAAACCATAAACAATTGTTAGCATTTATTGAGCAATTTAGAATGTTCCAAATATTTTTATAGGTACTTTATGTGTATTTACTCATTTAAATGCAACAGTAACCCTAAGAGTTAGGTTCTGTTCTTATTCCCATTTCACAAGTGAGAAAATAAAGTACAGAGAAGGTAGATAACTTGCCCAAGTCACAGAGCTAACAAGTGATAAAGTCAGAATTCTGATGT